TGTTTTAACTTCTTTACCTGATAAAGTGTCCAGCAGATCAATCTCTTTCTCAAGTATGAGAAGATTCAACTCTTTTCTATCATGGAATTGTGGTGTATTCTTTAGAAATATCACATTTCAGTAAATCTTTCATTTGTCAATGGACATTTCCCTATTCTTCAAATAGCACTTCAATAATTATTGAGCGCACATATCTCTAGCCCATACTGAATTTACTACCTTTGAATACCTATTCAGGATTTCTCTTTCTCAAGTATGAGAAGATTCAACTCTTTTCTATCATGGAATTGTGGTGTATTCTTTAGAAATATCACATTTCAGTAAATCTTTCATTTGTCAATGGACATTTCCCTATTCTTCAAATAGCACTTCAATAATTATTGAGCGCACATATCTCTAGCCCATACTGAATTTACTACCTTTGAATACCTATTCAGGATTTCGTGGTAGGAACCACAATTGAGAGAACACCTGTGTGTCACTTAGCACAGGCATTTCTAGTTCCATCCATTGACCTACAAGTGACTTGATTTCTTTTTCCTTTACCACAAAGCAGAACTCCAGTGTAAATGTGGCAAATATACAGGATCCACGAAGACTGAGGGACATTTAGGTTCTGCAACATAATTTCAGAAAGAATGCAATAGAAACTTTTTTCTTAAATGCTACTTTATTATGTACTTAACTGAGACATTAAATGTGTTTCCCCTGATGACTTTGGAGGACTTTGATTGTAATTAAGAATCTCAAATTCTTGAAATTTCACAGCCAGTATTGAAGGAGCAGTCGCTTTACAAAAATTGGGTTTATAAGCCAGTTTTCAGTCCTGAAAGTATATGGCAAAATTACTTCCAGTACATTGATTTTAATGGGAAAAATTCATGAAGTGGTAATTATGTTAATTTAATACTTAATTTCAAACATGTATGTAGAGAACAAAATATCACACTGCACCTCCTAAATACATATAGTTCCTGTTTGTCAAAAATTAACATTAAGGGGCTGGAAAGATGGCTCAGAAGTTAAGAGCACAGGCTGTTCTTGCAATGGACCCAGGTTTGATTCCCAGCACCCATGTGGCAGCTAACAGCTCTCTGTAATTCCATTTCTAGGGCATCCAATTCCCTCATCTGACCTCAGTGGGCACTGCAGACATGGGTGCACTT